ATTCCAGCTGACTGCTCCAATTTCTGTCCAAAGGTTTCCACTAAACTTCTGCTATCGCTCTCATCTATTCTACTGAACTTCAGGGAAAAAGCTGTTGAAAAAATTAACAGCTTTGTACTCAAAAAGCATTTTTAACAGCATAATATATACCTTTCCATCAATAACATCGTCTCCAGCGTATGATAAATATTGTGTTTTTGTCCGTTTTTTTTTATTTCTTATCGTTCATTGTCCCAGTCCTTGTTGTATCTCTATCCGGTCAGTATGTGGTCGTCTCTTATTTTATTTTTGTCTAATCCTATTTCTCTGCGGGTAATATATCAGTATGTCGATCTGAGAAGTACCAATCATCCCTAACTTATTAATATTATATCTATTTCATATTCATTTAGCTTAACTCATGATTACCTTCATCATATCACTTTCAGTATATCCCCATTATTCTCACTATATATTGTTATAAACATTATAACTTATTATACTTATTATCCTGCAGCGTAATATATTAGTATATCTTATGACTTCTTATCTTTGATATCTTTTACGGAAAATGAAAGTTCAAATTAGTCATATTGATAAGGTAAAAATGGTTATTATTGCTATTAGAATGGTACATATATCGTTTGGATCATTATAATTAGGAGAATTAGTAGAATTATCCCTGTTTTTTTCCAACTCCATCGAACTCCTCCACCTCCTCCATCATCCTCCACCACCACCATCACCCTCCACCTCCTCTCCCAACCGGCCTCCGTCTAACCATCTCCACACCTCGCCCTCCACCACCATCTTTCACCTCCTCCTCCATTTCTGACCTAATCACTCACTCCCACCCTCCACCCACCTCCTCCACCTCTATCTAACCACCCAACACCACTCCCACCCTTCACCTCCTCCTCCACTCAACCACCACCAACCACTACTCGCCCCTCCCTCACCATACACCTAAACACCCCAAACCCCACCCACCCCCCTGTCGGATGACTCGATAACAGTCGGAGGTGCATAGTCCCAAGTACCGCAGAAGGAAATTCGTTGAGTATGATACTGGACAAATCGTGCATGCAGTGCAGCGAAGGCTCGTGGTCAAGGAGGCGGACGAGGATCTCATATTAATTCGTGCTCGTAACTAAGCGCGCGATAGGTAAAAGGTCAGACCAGGCATAGCTGATCACATCTCACAACAAGCTGTTGTGTCGCCGACGGCTAGCCCTCCCTCTCACCTCCCTCCTCCACCTCCCCCCTCACACCATCTCCCTCAATCGGTTGGTAAGTGTCTAGGGTCCACGCACAATCGACTTACTGGAACTATTTCGAGATTGGGCACATAGCAAAAGCCTCCATGGACAATCGCAACTGTAAAAGGGACCACTGCGCCTAGCGCGCCTGAGAGACTCCCGATAGAGCGTTATTGACTGCAAACGATAGACGCAAAAGTACCAAGCGACTTGTACGACATCATCCACCCTCGTCCTCCACCTCTAACGCACTCCACGCGTCTCGGTCACCCACCGAGTCACGCAGTCCTCAACCGGCGTAGCGAGGAGGGACTCGGACGTGTCAAGATGACGAGGACGACCCCGAGCGACTCAACCTGTCGAGGCTCAAGCTGGCTCTCAAGTACGACCAGAAGCAGGTACGAGGACGACTTTGGCTGGTATTTTTCTTCCTCTCTTTCTTCTTTCTTTTTCTTTCATTCTTCTTCTTCTTTCTTCTTTATTCTTCTTTTTTCTTCTCTCTCTTCTTTTATTCTTCTTTTTCTCTTCTCTTCTCCTTCTTCTTTACTCTCTTCTTTTTCTCTTCTTTCCTTCTTCTTTCTTTCTTGTTCCTTCTCCTTCCTTTTCTTCTTCTTCCCCTTTCTTCTTTATTCTTCTTTTTTTTCTTTCTCCTTTTCTTCTTTTCTTCTTATTCCTTCTTTTTCTTCTTCTCCTTCTTCTTTAATTCTTCTTTTTCTTCTTCTTCTTCTTCTGTCTGCTTCTTCTTTTTCTTCTTCTTCTTACTTTCTTCTTCTCTAATTCTTCTTCCTTCGTTTCCCTTCTCTTCTTCTTCTTCTGTTGCTTCTCTTTTTCTTTCTTCTTTTGCTCTCAGCTACGACCAGAAACAGGTAAGAGGACATTCTTCTTTTCTTCTTTCTTCTTCTTCCTTTTTCTCCCTTCTTCTTCTTCTTCTTCTTCTTCCTTTTCTCCTTCTCTTCTTCTTCTTTCTTTCCTTCTTCTTCGTCTTTTTCTCTTCTCTTCTCTTCTCCTTTCCTCCTCTTCTTCTTCTTCTTCTTTCTTTTCTCCTTCTTCCGTCTTCTTCTTCCTTCTTCTTCTCTCCTCCTTTTCCTCCTCTTCTTCTTTTCTTCTTTCTTCCTTTTCTCCTTCTTTTTCTTCTTCTTCTCCTTCTCTTTCGTCTTTCTTCAGGTGAGAGAATGTCCTTGGTGGTAATGCTGTTTTTTCTTATCTATTTATTTATTTTTTCTTCTTTTTTTTTCCTCTGCGTCTTCATTTTTTTTCTTCTGCTCTTATTCCTCTTCCTTTTCTTACTTTTTTATTATTTTTCATTTCTTCTTATTTTATCTTTTGTCTTCTTCTTTCTTCTTCTCTTTCTTTTCCTTTTTCCTTCTCCTTCCTCTTCTTCTTCATGTCTTCTTTTTCTTCTTTTTCATTATCTTCTTCTACTTCTTCTTTCATTGTTATCATTTGTTTTTTTCGTCTTTCACTTATGGTCTTTCTGTGTCTATTTATTTATCTCATGTCAGTTCCTCTTCTTCTTGCCATTTAAGTTTGATTTTTTTAAATCTCTTTCTTCATTCTTTCTCTCTATATTTCTCTATTTAAATAATGATTATTAACCGATTCTTTCTTTGGCTCCCCCTCTCCCCCCCCCGACCCCCAACCTTATCCATGCTCCTTCATCCCCCACTTTTTTCCTCTTTCTTCCATTTTTTCATTTCTCCTCATCTTTCTCCTCCTCTCTTCCTTCTTCTCATCTCCTTCATTCCTCCCTCTCTTCTTCCCTTTCCCTCTTCTCTCCCTCTTTTTTTTTTTTCTTTCTTCTTCTTTTCCTCCTCCTCCCTCTCTTTTTTCTCCTCCTTATTCTCCCTCTCTTCTTCCCACCTCCTCTTTATTTTTTCACCCTCCCTCTCTACTCCTTCTCCCCTATTACCTCTCTTCCCCCTCTCTTCTTACCTCACCTAATGCTTTAACCCCTCCCCTTCCCCCTTCCCCCTCCCCCTTCCTTCCTTCACCATCCTCCCCCTCCTCTTTCCCTTCCCCCTCTCCCCTTTTCCCCCACCTTCCTCCCCCTCCCTCTTCCCCCCTCCCCCCTTCCCAACCTCCCTCCCGCTCCTCCCTCCACCATCCCCCCCATCCCCTTTTCCTTCCCCCCTCCCTCTTCCCCCTCCACCCCTTCCCAACCCCCTCCCTCTTCCCTCCCCCATCCCTCCCCCATACCCCTTTCCTTTCCCCCCCTCTTCCCCCCTCTTCCCCTTTCCACCCCTACCTTCGTCCCTCCCCCCTCCCTCTTCCCCCCTCCCCTCCCCCGCAGTTCGTGGGCACACCCCAACTGCCAGCAACTCCTGACCTCGGTGTGGCACGAGGGCCTCCCCATCTGGCGCCGCCGCAATGCCATCGTGAAAATCCTTCTGTGCCTGTCAATCATCATCTGCATGCCTGTCATCGCTGTTATCTACCTCATCTTCCCGAGGACACAGCTCGGGAGGTGTCATAAGGTCACCCTTCATGAAGTTCATCTATCACAGGTGAGGGCTTTTTTTTTTTTTTTTTGAGGGAGGGGGGGGGGGGGGTGGAGGAAAGGTGAGAGGGGAGGGGGGAGGAATGGGGGTCAATATGTACTGGGATGGATGCTGGTTGTGTTTGTTTGTTTGCTTTGTTGTGTTTTTGTGTGTATGTGTGTTGCTTGTTGTGTGTTTTGTGTGTGTGTTTGTGTGTGTGGTGTTTGTATGACCTGCGTATGTGTAGTGTGATTAATTATGTATTGCATTTTTGTATTTGTTTTTGTGTGTCTGTTCGTTTGCGTGTTCGTTTGTGTGTGTGTGAAAGTCGGTAAACAGACAGACAGACGAACATTAGAACCATAACACGCACAACCAAACCTATAAAGAAAGAAATAGATAAATGGGTAAATAGGTAGGTTATGATCACGTGTTCGAAGGAAAACAAGAAGATATGAGGAAGAGAATAAGGGCTGTTTTTTTCTAACCAATCAGGAGAGAGAATTGTGCTTTTTATTGTAAAACCGATAAATAGATTAAGGAGGGGAAGGAGGGGGAGAGAAAGGGTAGGCGAGCGAAAGAGAGAAGAGAGGAGAGAGAGAGAGAGGAGAGAGAGAGAGAGAGAGAGGAGAGAGGAGAGAAGAGAGAGAGAGAGAGAGAGAGAGAGAGAAGAGAGGGGGGGGGAGAGGAGAGAAAGAGAAAGAGAAAGAGAAGGAGGGAGAGAGAAAAAAAAAGAGGAAGAGAGGGAGGGTAAAAAAGGGAGGGAAAGGAAAGGAAGGAGAGAGAGGAGGGAAGAAAGGGAGAAAGGAAGGAAAAGGGAAGGAGAGAAGAGAAGAGAAAGCGAGAGGAAGAGGGAAAGGAGGAGAGGGGGAAAAAGGAGAGGGAGGAAAGGAAGAGAGGAAAAGGGGAGAGGGCAAGAGAGAAAGGAGAGGCAGAGGAAGAGAAGAGGGAAAAAAAAGGAAGGGAATGGAGGAAAAAAAAGGAAAAGGGAAAGGAAGAAAGAAAAGGAAAAGGAAAAGGGAAGAGAAAGGAGAAAGAAGGAAAAAAAAGGAAGAGAAGGAAGATAAAGAAAAAAGGAGAAAAGAAGAGGGGGGGGAGAAAGAAAGGGATGGAAAAGAGAGGAGAAGAAAAGGAAGGGAGGGGGAAANGGGGGAGGGGGGAGGAGGAGGAGAGGGAGGTGGGGTAGGGGGAGGAGGAGGGAGAGGAGGAGGGGGAGGGGGTAGAGGGAAGGAGGAGGGGTAGGGGGGAGGGAGAGGAGGAGTAGAAGGAAGGAGGAGAGGGTAGGGGGGGAGGGAGAGGAATGGGGGTAGGGGGAGGAGGAGGAGAGGGGGTAGGGATGGGGAATAGGTAGAAGGGAAGGAAGAGAAAGGGGAGGAGGAGGGAAGGAAGAACAAAGTTATCCAAGACAAAATGGAGAGTAGGAGAGAAGAGATGGGGAATAGGTGAAAGGAGGAGGGAGGGAGAGAAGGAGAAAGAGTGAAAGAGAAAGAGATGAGAGGAGAAAAAAAGGGAAATAGAGAGGAGGGAGGAGGAGAGAGAGTGAAAGAGAACGAGATGAGAGGAGAAAAAAAGGGGAAATAGAGAGGGAGGGAGAGAGAGGAAGAGAAAGAACCAAAAAATATACATCAATCTATAATCATGTAATATGTATATAAGGTAATATGTGTATATATATGTACATACATATATATATACATATACGTATGTTTGTATTTACATATATATATACTCAAATAATCATCAAATATTATTTTATTATAAATAATAGAAATAATAAAATATAAATATAAATAATAATCAAATAAACAGCCCCATGAAATGATTTTCCAAAACTCACAACAAACACAACCCACGCGTCCAAAGTGCGTTTCCTTGGCGATGTAATCAACGTCGTCCGGGTAGAAATCAACATAAAGTAATAATAACATAATAGAAATAATAACATAATAGAAATAATAATTGATTAATTAAAGAATTATTATTAATTAAAGAAATAATAACATAACATAAAATCAACATAAAGTAATGTCCACGGAGAGGATTCCGGGAAAATCGATGAGCGAGAGACTTATAAAGTTAACGAATGAGGGAATTATGTCAAGACGTATTATCGTAATGGAACTTCTTGTGAGCTTCTATTCTGGGTCTTTATAAGAGGCATGTCTGGTTTGAAATAGAGAAAGAAAATGTGGTGTATGATGTGGTTGAACTTTTATCGATTAGGATATTTGCATGATTTGATAGCAAAGCCTTAAATAAACGTACGATTTTAAAGTAGGCAGCGATTATTTGATGACTTATATGGTAAAGTAAGCAATGGAAAGAGAAAAAAAAGGTGGAATGTTGTAATAAATGTAATGATTACGAAGTTATCAATGAGAGAAGTAGGCTACAGATTTACGGTCTATATTTGCTTGCTTATATCGTATAATTAGATAGAGAGGGATAGGCAGATAAATGGAATTAGAAATCGGCAAACATACAGCTAAGTAGATAGACAGATGTTTGTGTGTTTATGTGTGTGTGTGTTCGTGTGTGTCTGTGTTTATGTGTGTTCGTGTGTGTGTGTGTTTGCGTGTGCATCTCCGTGCGTGTGTGCTTGCGTGTCTGCGTGCTTGTGTGTCTGTATCTCTTCGTATGTGTGTGTGTTTATGTATGCATATGTATTTACGTGTGCGCATTTGTAGCTAGATAGGAGGGCGCCCTTCCCGAGTGCCAGCCTATAGAAAGTGCCAGCGATGGAAACAGACACGGCCATGAATACAGATTAGTACGCTTGCATCACGGACAAAAGAGTGTTTGGCAAAAGCAGTGAGCTTGATTGGTGCTTTGGTCTGTCTAATTAAACAGGGGATGCTGCTATTGTCTTTGTTTACGACATTTTAGGACATGCATCTGTCGACTCTCTATATAGGCATGGAGTATGCTATGGTTATATTTTCTAGATATAAGCAGGTACTTGTTAGGTGGTTCATGTGCTTGGAATTTTGTTTCTACTGCATGGACTTGATGAAATTTAATGATGATTTGGACGTGACGAGTAAGATGTCAGGGAATTAACGAATGATTAGATAGAATATGAAGGAAATAGTAGAATGAGAGGGAAAGAAAGGAAATGTATTGCACAGTCAGTCAGTCAGCGATAATAAAGATGATGATAATGTTTATAATAATGATAATGATAATAATAATAATAATAATGATAATAACAATAATAATGATAATAATAATAAAGATAATAAATGAAGATGACAATTTGGATGATAATGATGATGAAGATAATACAAATAATAATTATAAAAATGATAATGATAATCATAATAATAAAATGGATAATAGCAATCAATGATAATAAAGAACAATGATGATGATAATAATAACAATAATGATAACGATAACAATAATAAAAGTGATGTTGATAATGACAATAATAGCAGTAAGGATAAAATAATAACAATAATAAAAGTAAAGATGATACTGATAATAATAACAAGAAATATAATAATAATAACAGAAAAGATAATAATGATAACAGTACTGATAATAATAATAACAATAATGATAATAATAATAACAGGAAAGATAATAATAATAACAATAACGATAATAATGACAACACAACAACAAAAACAATTCCCAAAACAAGAATAACATCTAGACGAGTAAAAAAAAAAAAAAAAAAAAAAAAAAAAAAAAAAAATCACACGTTCAAAAAAAGAAAAAGAAAATCACACGTTCAAAAAAAAAAATAAAAAATAAAAATAAAAAAATCACACGTGTTCCTTTGACCCGAGAAATTTCTCACGACCGCAACAACTTGGGAAGTGATCGAAGCGAAATGAAAAGGGAAGCCTCGAGATCGATTATTCACTCTTTGAAGGTCTTATGTAAGTAGGCCGTTAGGGTGAAAGAATTATTCCTTAGAAGCTCTTGTAAAAAAAAAATAAATAAATAAATAAAAAAATAAAAAAATAAAAAAATAAAAAAATAAAAAAAAAAAATAAAAATGCAATTTTGAAAAAAATATATATATATATGGATTTTCTTTTGAGTGTACGGTTGAGTGAGAGGGGATAGGGCGAAGGAAGGAGAAGGAAGGGGAAATAAAGTTGAAGGAGGAGGAGGAGGAGGAGGAGGGGGAATAAAGGGAACAGGAGGAGGGGGGAGTAAAGAATGAGGAGAGGATGGGGGAGTAAAGAAGGAGGAGGAGGAGGGGGAATAAAGAAGGAGGAGAGGGGAGTAAAGAATGAGGAGGAGGAGGGGAAGTAAAGAAGGAGGAGGAGGAGGGGGAAATAAAGAAGGAGGAACAGGGGGAGTAAAGAAATGAGGAGGAGGATGGGAGTATAGAAGGAGGAGGAGGGGAAGGGAAATAAAGAAGGAGGAAGAGGAGGGGGAGTAAAGAATAAGGAGAGAGGGGGTGTATAAATAGGAGGAGGAGGAGGGGGGAAGAAGGAGGAGGAGGAGGAGAGAGACGGTAGAGGAAATTAAGGAGGAGTAGAAAGAAATGAGGAGATGCGTAAAGGAAAGAAGGGAGAAGGAGGAAGAGGAAAGGGGGATATGAAGAAAAGGAGGAAGAGAGGGAGAAAAGGAAGAATAAGGAGAAGTATAAAGTAAATATGGGGAGAAGCAAAAAATCAGGAAGGGAAATATAAAAAAAGAAAATGTGGATTAAAGAATGAGGGGAGCAAGATAGAAATTTAAAAAAGAAGAGAGATTAAAAAAATGAATGGAGGAGAAATAGGAAGAAGATGAGTAGGAGAAAATGAAGAAGGAGTAGGAAGAAAACGAGAAAGCAGAAAAAATGGGTTGGACAGTAGGAAAAGGAGGAAAAAGAAAAAGAAAGAAAAGGAGAAAGACAGGAGACGAAGAAACAGAAGAGAAACAGAGAAAAGAATTTGACAAATATCAAAATTGACGAAAAAAACGGAAAATACTGTAAATCAGCCAATAACAAAAATAAATAAATAAATAAATCAACGTGTATGCAAAGTGAACACAAATTCAATCCTCTTCGTTTTATTTCAGATTTGTTTATCATTATGCTCACCCTCTTGTGCAATTTATATTTAGGATCCCTATAAATGCCACCTACGTGTTTACAGTCAATTCCAGTCGTTTAATTATCGTTGCCGTTGTTTTCGCTCTGTTCTTATTTATAGACAATCAATAGAAAAGCTATTTTGTTACGAACTTTTGTTTTACCTTGAGTTAGTCACATAGTAGATGACGTCACTAGTCTCCGCCCCATGTTGATGACGTCACTTTAACTTTTCGATGACGTCACTCTAACGGCTCGATACGTCGCTCTATCGGTTTGATGACGTCACTCTAACGGCTCATTAACGTCAATCTATTGGCTCACGAACGTCATTCTAACAGTTCAGGAACGTCACTAACAGTTCAGTGACGTAACTCTCACGGCTCAATGACATCACTCAAGCAGCTCAATGACGTCACTCTAATCTCAATGACGTCACTCTAATCTCAATGACGTCACTCTAATCTCAATGACGTCACTCTAATCTCAATGACGTCACTCTAATCTCAATGACGTCACTCTAATCTCAATGACATCACTCTATTCTCAATGACGTCACTCTAATCACAATAACGTCACTCAGTCACATCACTCTGATCCCAATCATGTCACTCTAATCTCAATGACGTCACTCTTATCCCTATCACGTCACTCCGATCCCAGTTACGTCACTCTCACCCCACTCCCAACCCCACTAACATCCCCAAGCAGGGCACTAACCCCTTCCCCACTCTCCCACCCCCACTCACCAGGTGTGGGCAGAGTGCAAGCAGCTGTGGGAAGAGGGACTGACAGCCTACATCCGTCAGTGGTGGAACTGGCTGGACTTCATCATGCTGTCCCTGTATCTGTGCACGTTCAGTCTCCGTGCTGTGGCCTTTGTGCAGATCACCACCAATAAGTATGGGCCCAGGTGAGTTGTGTGGGGGGTGGGGGGGGTTGTGGGTGGGTGGGGGGGTTGTGGGTAGGGGGTTTAATGGGGGTTGGGTGTGAAGCAGCCCTGTGGTATGTATTTTTTTTTTTTTTTTTTTTTTTTTTTACTTTCTGCGTTTTCTTTTTGTTTTTTGTTGTCTTTCTTTTCCTTTTTCTTCTTTGTTTTCTTTGTTATCACTATTCGTCTTTCTTTTTTTCTTCTTTTTAATTTTCCTTTCATTTCTTGATATTATTAGTATATTAGTATTTGTATTATTGTCATTATTATTAATGTTATTGTTATCATTATTATCATTATTATTATTACTGTTAAT